GGAGGGTCAGAGAGAGAGGGAGTCACAGACTGAAACAGGCTCCAGGCTCTGAGCTGGCAGTCAGCACAGAGCCCGACGCGGGGCTCAAACCCACGAACCGCGAGATCATGACCTAAGCGAAAGTCGGACGCTTAACCGACTAAGCCACCCGGGCGCCCCTCTCAAAATTATTTTAATGAGTGACAAGCCAACAGACACAAATAAAAGACAAAACTTCCTTAACCATAAAGGATATGAAAAATGAACTGAATAATGATACCTGCATAGAGAAGAAGACACAGCAGCACTATCAATGGGACAATTATCCCTAGCTTTCAGGTCTCCACTAAGGTATTCAGTTGCCTATGATAGCATTTGATTGGAGTGAGAATCTTACTCCATTCTTCACAAAGTTGCCTTTCAGGAGATTTGCTTGATTTTTGCCTAACTATGCCAGCTTTTCTGGTAAAGCCTGAAAACATTCCTGAATGTTTACTGTGTGACAAGGTACATCTGAAATCAATTTTCCAGGCATATCATCATCCTAGAAAGACTCAGATCTCAAGTCTGCTTGGGGAAATTCTGCAAACATAATGGCACAGAAAAGTTGCAAATAGAAAGTTAAGAGTAAAGGGATGGAAAAAGATATACCATGCTAGTAGTAACTGATAAAACTGTAGTGACAGTATTGCTATCAGAAAAAGTGTATTTCAAAAAAAAATTAAAAATAAATTTAAAAAAAAGTTACAGAGAGAGAGGGAGGCAAACCATAAGAGACTCGAATACAGAGAGCAAACTGAGGGTTGATACGGGGTGGGGGAGAGGGGAAAGTGAGTGATGGGAACTGAGGAGGGCACTTGGGATGAGCACTGGGTATTGTATGGAGGCCAATTAAACAATAAATTATATTAAAAATAATAAAAGAAAAAAGAAAAATGTATTTCACAGCAAAAAGTATTAGCAGGCATAAAGAAAGTAATTTTATAATAAGTGGGTAAATTTATCAAGAGGACATAACAATCTTAAATGTTTATTTTCCTAATAAAGGAACTTCAGAACGCCTAAAATTAAAAGTAAAGAACCATAAGGAAAAATAAACAAACTCACAATTACAGTTAGAGATTTCAGCATACTCCCCTTTCAACCCTTGATTGAACCAGTAGGCAGAAAATCAGAAAGGATATGGTAGACTTGAACAACACTAGCAAGCAAGTTGATCTAACTGACAATTATAGAACACTCTACCCAAGAACAGCAGAATATACATTCTTTTCAAGTGAACATGGTGTGTTCACCAAGATGGAACATATTCTGGGCCATAATGTGAGTCACAATAAATTCACAAGCATTCAAGTGATATAAAGTATGTTCTTTGACCATATGCTACTAAATTAGAAATCAATAATGGGAAGATCCATAGAAACCCCCCCAAATATTTGTAAACTAAGTATACATCATTAATTTTACTATGATCTTGAGCAGGGAGGTCCTCAGCCATAATCTAGGTCACAGTGTACATTGGCTAACTGGCATACAAGAAAGCCTACAAAAACTTGGTCTTCTGTAGTGGAAATGCAGATAATAATTAAATAAGAGTTAAGTTTAGGGTCAATAGAGAGCCGTTTTGGGGGCTAATGATGAGCATATTGGTAGGGATCTCGTGTGAATCCATTCTCTCCATTCCCAGTTTCCCAATCACCTTATTATTCCTCAGGATAGAGGCTCTTGGAGAGACTACTAACTTTGCAAACACATTAATGGGTCTACCTGGGGCCAATTAGTCTCACTTCCTCAGCTGTCTCCTAAACTCTCATCGGTGAACAAACACATCATCCCCAGCTGTGAGCTGCTAGGCTGCCCAGGAGAAGGGATGTCTCTCAGTACAGGATCAGTTGAGGGGATGCCTTGGGGAGCAGGGCTCCCTTCCTCCCGTCACCACGTGAGAGGTTAAAGTCAGTAGCATTTCTGATCTCCAGATTCAGTCTATGGACCCAATGAGTCTCGATTTGTCTTTATTGTTTTTCTACTGAAGGTTTGTGTTCTGACCCACAGAGCAATAATAGCTTTGCCATCAATGCTTTACTGTAAATAAATTATTTGCTTAAGAACATGTCAAGCAACTCTGAAGGAAGAAAATCTCTGATGTTTGATTATCATAAGGTAATACTCAGATTTGTGGAAATTGATGACTTATTGATACACATTCAGGAAAGAAGAGAATGGCCAAGACAACCATCCTACCCACAGGTTGATTTTCCAGGACACAGGATTCCAATAGGTTAGAAAAGGATATTTATATGTGGCTCAGGAAGATGTCTGTTCCCGCAGGTACCCCATGGTTTAATGTTTCTTGAAGTGTGGTTCAGAGATCACCTGTTTCAGAGTCACCAGATTTGGGGGCCCATCTATAGACCTACTGGATCAAATTTTCTGAGGGTGGGACCTGGAATCAGCACATATAGCAAGCTCCTCCAGTGAACCTTAGGCAGAGCACCTTAATGTTTAAGAACCACTGTTTGGGGTCGCCATTACTCAAAGAGACACACTAACTGCCTCCTTTGGCAGCCTTCTCTCTACCTATGCTCCCACTCTGCTATCCCAGGGAGGAAGGCAAAGAGACAGGTGTAAATGAAGCCTCTTGCCTACTGCTCCCTCACCTACAGGCTCTAGGCATTGGCTCTTACCCCTGCACACTTCCCTCTCCTCTCCAATCTATTTCCAGATGATAAGACCACCCTTAAATTTGCTTCCTAGTTTTCATTCACAGGTACAAACTGTGGCCAACAGAAATAGAGGCTATTTCAGCATCCTTTGAAAAACTGTCAGAGATGTCAATTTTTTCACAATCCCTCACTTGGCATACTCTCTACATTTGAAATAATTTTGAATTTAGTGCAGATTGAAGAAGACAGTTGAGAGAGGAAAGCAGAGGGGAAGAGAGAGAGTAGACTTAAAGCAAGTAATAAACCTGGAGACTCTGATCAGCTACCTGCTATATTACCTACCACCCTACCCCAACCCATCCCACCCCTGGACCTCATCTATGCTCTCCTGACCATTGACCACATTCCCACTTGTCTTAGCTTTTGTCCATCCTTTTAATCAGAGAATCAGAGACATACCTGCAGACCAGTCACCCACACTGAAACAGTCTACTGAGGAAAGATGGGAAGCTGGGTGTTAAGAAGTCCCACTTCACTCTTATCAACCATGTCTCAACTTCCTTGAAGTTCCTGTAAGTTATTCCATCCTGTGATTTTTAGTTATTTCCTTTGAAGTCCTTGTAATTTACCTTGAAGTTGGGTTGCCTTTTGAAACCAATGGAGCTGATGACATTTGCAACCTAAATCTAGGGCTGCGCACATCCCTGAAATAATGGGGTTTATTATAAACTAGCAGCTATCGGGTTAAGAGTGCCTGAATGTTACATCTCAGTGACAAATCAATCACAAACGTATGCTCCATGCTCCATGTGCCTTAAAAAAAATTACCAGTGTTCTGTGTTCAAATTTGCCCTCTTCTATTTTGAGCATCTCAACTTTAGTAGAGTGTGTGTCCTCTTCAGGCATTATAATGCTTTCTTGTCACCATTCACAGTACTCTATCAATAGCCACAGTGCCTTTGTTAACTACTTGACAGTCAAATTAGTTGTCCATATGTTTAGAGTCTTCTCCTGCCCTGGTAGTTTGATGATTCTGAACACTCTGCCAGTCAGATAAACTAGAATCTCTGCCTGCTGAATTTGGCTCTCCTCTCCCAAATCCTCCCAATATCTTCCATGGTGGTGTCATTCATGTACACTCCTCAGGAAAGGAGGAGGTGGCTCACTTCTACACTTTTCCATCCTACCCAATTACATCTGCTGGCTTCAAAGTCTTCACAGATGAGGGTCCTCCCCTAAGAGCATGGAGTGCTTACCTGACTCCAGAACCCAGAGGTAATTCAAGAACATGGTGGCAGAGCAGCCAATGGAGGGGAAACATCTAAATGGTGTTTAGGTGTTGCATCCATGGCCTCGTTCATTCTCTGAGTAGGAAAGGCATTTTATTTACAGAGCTGTTCCTTCCCGTCTGGCCCCAATGGCTTCTGAGTCCAGGGTAAACCTGTTTCCTGGCAATGACTGGTGATTTTCTAAAGGATGCTCCCAAGAGCAAAGTCTCAGTTTGTTCTTCAGAGCCCTACATCATCCCCATCTCTCCACATCCCCAACCCTCATCACTGTTAGAACTCACAGTAGGGCTTGATTTGTGCCAAGTTCACAGAGGCAATTTTATAGCTGAGCCCATAAATCACCTTCACCTCCTCTAGAACATTCAGGATCCTCTGAAGTCCTGTTCAGTCACTCTTAATACAAGTGTCTCTGTCTTGTATTGTTTGGTGGTGGGTCGCTTGCCAAATTTTGTCATTGTTTCATTTTATTTATGATATTTAGTCACGTGCTAGGTCTGTCTCTCTAGAGAGTAATCAAACATTCTTTAAACTTTCTTAGGGTGCCAGGCTTTGTTCAAGTGCTTTACATGGATTAATTCATTGGATTCTTTCAACAGTCTTTTGAGATTAGTGCCATTATCCCTATTTTACAGACAAGAAAACTGAAGTCAGAGAAGTAAAGTAACATTCCCAAGGTTACACAGCTAGTTAGTGGTGAGGTTCCAGCTTGGCAGTCTAATGCCAGAGCCTGTGTGCTTTAACACAAAGTATACTATCTCTAGAATATAAGCTCCCTAAAGTAAGACACTTCTGTATTGCTGACAAGAAGAACAAAGAGCTAAGCATATAGAAGACTGTCAACAAATATTTGGTAAGTAACTGTTTCATTCTTTAGAACTTATTAGGTTGCTGAGAGACCAAGTGGTATATGCTGCTTTTCTATTTTTCACTGCTGCTCTAGTAATGCTTATTAAAAACTAATCAACCAAGTAGAGAAGACCCTCTCTATGACCAAGTTCCAGCTACAAGAGACTTTTTCAGTGAGACCAGTCTTCAGAAGGCCGAAGCAGAACTAAATCCAGTGAGAGCCCCTGGGGCTTCCACATCTTTTCTGGTGGTCCCCTCTTTCCGCACCCGGGGCACTGGAGAAATATGGAAGGGGCAAATCTGAGCCAAGAGACTGAGTTTGAGCTCTTGGGCCTCACCAGGGGCCCCAGCTCCAAAGGCTGCTCTTCATGGTGTTCCTGGCCACGTACACCATCACTCTCCTGGGGAATCTGATCATGTTCCTTCTGATCCACGTGAGCGCCTCTCTGCACACACACATGTACTCCCTCCTGAAGAGCCTCTCCTTCTTGGACTTCTGCTACCCCTCCACAGTTGTCCCTCAGATCCTGGTGAACTTCTTGGCCAAAAGGAAGGTGATCTCCTATTTTTGCCAAAATAAAGAACATGGCTCAGATGTTCTTCTATGCAGGTTTCGCCACCAGCAAGAGCTATCTCACTGTCGCCATAGCCTATGACCTCTATGCTGCTATTTGTAACCCCCTGCTCTACTCACTCACCATGTCTCCTGAGATCTGCATGTCTCTCATTGTGAGCTCCTATGGTGCAGGATTTCTCAATTCTCTTATCCACACAAGCTGTATCTTTAGTCTGAAATTCTGTGGTGCCCATGTGGTCACTCACTTCTTCTGTGACGGACCACCTATCTTGTCTCTGTCTTGTGTGGACACCTCACTGTGTGAGATCCTGCTCTTCATTTTTGCTAGTTTCAACCTTTTGAGCTGCACCCTCACCATCTTGGTCTCCTACTTCCTAATCCTCATCACCATCCTGAAAATGAACTCAGCCCAGGGCAGGTTCAAAGCCTTCTCCACCTGTGCTTCCCACCTCACTGCTGTGTGCCTCTTCTACAGCACAACACTTTTTGTGTACCTGCGCCCCAGGTCCAGCTACTCCTTGACCCAAGACTGCATGGTTGCTATGATCTACACAGTGGTAATCTCAGTGTTGAACCCCCTTATATATTCTTTGAGAAACAAGGATATGAAGGAAGCTTTAAGAAAGGTTTGGGGCAGGAAAATAATGGAATTATCTTCTTAAAACATTCCTCCCTTCCTTCTTTCCTCCCTCCCTCCCTCCTTCCCTCCCTCCCTTCCTTCCTTCCTTCCCCACATACCTTTAGAAAGCCAAGGGAGGATGTCTGGGTGACTCAGCCATTAAATCTGACGTCCACTCAGGTCATGATCTCATGGTTTGTGAGATCAAGTGAACACGAGCCCCACTTCTGGTGAGCCCTGCTTTTCTCTCTCTCTCCCTTGCTCTCTCTGCCACTCACTCACCTGTACTCTCTCTCTCGAAAGAAAGAGAGAGAGAGAGAGAGAGAGAGAGAGAGAGAGAGAAAGAAAGCCAGCCAGCCAAGTGGGCAGTTGTGGTGCCCACCTATGCATATTTGCATGCTCCCCACTGTGAATACCAGCATACACTCTGGTCTGCCAGTGCTTCAGCATCTACCTTCCACACAAAGAATTTTGTGAGAGTGTCAGAGGTGAGAGTGTCAGCTTGTTGCATAATTGGACTATGGGCAAGATTTAGTTATGCCTTTGTTCATATACTTCACTCGTATTTCCATGTGTGTAATACTTTATTATTAGAAACTGACGTTTATATTCTTCATAATAAAGTCTCTCCTTAACTAAACTGAAGGCTTTGACTCCTCCCCTCCTGTACAATCTCCTCTTTGTAAAAACTGACTTCTTGATTGTCTAATTACTGGAATGATACTGTACCAACTTCAAAAGTTCACATGATGTGTTATTGTCTTTGTCGACCTTTTCCCTAGCCAAATAGCCACTTTGTCGCGCTTTTTTTTAAATGTTTACTTATTTTGAAAGAAACAGAAAGAGCTGAGTGGGGGAAGGGCAGAATGATGGGAGAGAGATAATCCAGAGTGAGCTGTGCACTGTCAGTGCAGAGTCCAATATGGGGCTCGGGGCTCGAACCCAAAAACCATGAGATTGTGACCTGAGCCAAAATCCAGAGCTGGATACGTAACCAACTAGTCACCCAGGTGCCCTCACCTGGTCATTTTCAAACTAAATATACTTAGGCAACTTACTTAACTTTTCTTAGTGACAGACGTTTCACCTTTTAACTGGTGTGAGTTTTAAGTGTTCAATTAGATATTGCAGGTCAATTGTTCAGTATATAATAGGCATTTGTAGGTTTCTTTGCCTTTTCCTTTATAGCAGCCCCAGAGTTCTCACAAAGTGAGAGAGAGGACATGTTTTGCCTTTCTCAAAGGCTTGTTCTCTCTGCTAGTGTTCTGTTCTTAATAATTTATCAGTTGTGATTGAATTAAATCAAGTCTTTTTAAATAAGAAGAATCACTTAGAGGGAGCACAATGAAACATGATGTTCCTAGGCTCTCTGTACTCCCTGATAAAATTGAAGGAAACAAACCAGGGCATGCCTGGCTAGTCCTCTCATGAGGGAGACCTGCCTCAACTCAGTGTATCCATCCAGTGGGATAATACTGGATGGATACCTAACTCTGGAGTTTAGTTTCATAAAGACCATTTTTCCCCACAGATGTAGTCCATGAATTCTAACCTAGCCTTTCACGTTCTCTATCTTATTATATTTTATCCTTTTTCTAAACTGTTCAGAATGAGGAGGGGAGATGATGCTCTATATCGATACACCTTCACAAAGATCTGGACGCTGAACTCGTTCCTGAAATTTAGTGGAAAGTTGGCCTTTTATTTGTACAGGTTACTGTTAGTCTTTCATAATAATTAATGTCGAGGATATTTAAATATAGTGATTTCCTTTTAGTGCTAAGCAGAGATTTTGTTAGAAGCCTCTCAGTGATAAGGACGTGGGCTTCAGAGCCACTCTGCTTTGGCTCACATCCTAGCCCCACAATTTTCAACATGTATGACATCATGGGACCTCTCTGAGTTTCCATTTTTCTCTTTTATAAAATGGGAAAAATAATAATTGTAGCAATACAGTTGTTGCTAGGAGAGTTAAGTAAGTTAATGCAAGCAAAACACTTAGAACAATGCCTGGCACACAGCAAACACTTTATAAACATTAGCTGTTATTATTGGAAATGGCTGCTGACTTTTAGCAAATGTTTTCAGTAACTCTTGATATAATCCCGTAATCTTCCTCCTCCTTTATTTTGTTCCTGTGCTGAATTGGAGATGTATATTTCCTAATGTTAAATTGGTTTTGTTTCCTGGAATTCCTGATTGTGAAATGATTTTTTAATTTTTTAAAATTTTTTTAATGTTTTATTTATTTCTGAGAGACAGAGAGACAGCATGAGCAGGGGAGGGTCAGAGACAGAGGGAGACACAGAATCTGAAGCAGGCTCCAGGCTCTGAGCTAGCTGTAAGCACAGAGAGCCCGACGCCAGGCTCGAACCCACGAACCGTGAGATCATGACCTGAGCCGAAGTCAGATGCTTAACTGACTGAGCCACCCAGGAACCCCACTGATTTTCTTTTAAAAGACAGTTGGATTGGATTTGCAAAGACTTTATTTAGACTTTTGGCATCTATAGTCAAAGATAAAGTTGGCCTATTGTCTTTTTGCATTATTTTTATTATGTTTTAGCATTAAGAGTAAACAAGTCTTGTAAAATGTATTGAAGTCTCTTCTTTGCCTGTAGTGTGGAATAATTTAAATAAAATTTTAAAATGCTATATATTCAGTTGATGCCTTTATTTAAAAATGATTACATATTTACTGAGAGAGAGAAAGCATGAGCAGGGAGAGGGGCAGAGAGAGAAGAGAGAGAATCCCAAGTAGGCTCCACACTGTCAGCACAGAGCCCAATGGGGGACTCGATCTCACAGACCATGAGATCATGACCTGAGCCCAAACCAAGAGTCAAACACTTAACTGACTGAGCCCCCCAGGTACTCTGACACTGGTACCTTTTTAAAAGGTAGATCACTGGGGTGCCTGGGGGCTCAGTCAGTTGTGTCTGACTCTTGGTTTGGGCTCAGGTCATGATCTCACAGTTCATCAGTTCAAGCTCCATGCTGTTAGGATGGAGCCTGCTTGAGATTCTCTCTTTCCCTCTTTCTCAAAATAAAGAAATAAACATTTTTTAAAAATGTAGATCATTGAGGCACCTAGCTGGGTCAGTTGGTAGAGCATGTGACTTTTTTTTTTTTAATTGTTTATTTTTGACAAAGGGAGTAGGGGAGGGGCAGAGAGAGAGGGAGACAGAATCAGAAGCAGGCTCCAGGCTCCCAGCTGTCAGCAAAGAGCGAAACAGGGGGCTTAAACTCACAAACCATGAGATCATAACCTGAGCCTAAGTCTGATGCTCAACCAACTGAGCCACCCAGGTGCCCCTGAGAGCATGTGACTGTTGATCTCAGGGTTATGAGTTCAATCCCCATATTAGGTGTAGAGATTACTTAAATTATTTTTTTAATCGAAAAGGCATATATTTTAATTACCTTATTTCCTATATGACTAGTAGTTTCACTTTAGTGTTCCCCCCTGCTTCTTAAGCCAATTTAATCATTTGTATTTTGCTCAACAATTATTTCCTTCCTCTAACTGTTCACATTTATTGCCATGAGTTGCATATAAGTTTCTCGTATAATTTTTGTACTTGTTCTCTGGTCAGCATCATCAACATGGACTCCTCTAGATCTGCCCAGATAGTCTGTTCCATTTTTAGGACAATATAGGGGAAAAAATCCTCTTCCATAAAACAAGAAAAAATCAAGTAAGTGGTCGGGAAGTGTCTTCAGGACTCTAACATTCAATGAAATGAACATTTGTAGAAAGAGTTTGTTGAGGAATGACTAAGCATGTATACCGAAGTGTCAGAATGGCGACATTCCAATCCCAGTTCTGTCCCTCACTAGTCACATAACTTTAGGAAGGTTTTTTTTTTTATCTGAGAAACAGGGATACCAATAAAACCTATCTCAGGTATGGAACCTGTTGTTGAAAATTCAGTGACATAATATCTAAAACAGTGCCTGGCACATAGTCACTCTTTCATAAGCATTGGCTACTTTTGTTTCTTTTTTTTTTTTTTTTTTTGTATCTGTGGTTCTATTGCCTTTCTCATTCTTCCTACTTTTGTTTTCTTTCATTTTCCTTAGTAACACTTGACAGAGGATTTTATCAATCTTTTAAAACATTCTGTTTTGTGTTTTTTCTTCTTATTTCTAGAACATATGTGTTTCCCATTTTATTAATTTCAGGTTTTCTTTATTATATCCTTCTTTCTGCTTTCATTTTACTTATTGTTTTTCTTTTGTCAAGTTATTAAATACTGAAAACCTACAAAAGAATATTTTTAACATATTTCTATCTATCTGTATCCCAGGACACAGATTTCTTTCTTTTTTTAAGTTTTTTAAATATCTATTTTTGAGAGAGACAGAGAGAGCACAAATGGAGGAAGAACAGAGAGAGAGGAAGACAAAGAATCCAAAGCAGGTCCCAGGCTCTTAGCTCTCAGCACAGAGCCTGACTCAGGGCTACAACTCGCAAACCGGGAGATCATGATCTGAGCCAAAGTTGGACACTTAACCTTAAGACTGAGCCACCCAGGCATCCCTAGGATGCAGATTTCTATCTATCTTATCCTGTAGGATAATCACTGTATCCTACAGCAATTAAAAATAAAGTGCAAGTTGGGCACCTGGGTGGCTCAGTCGGTTGGGCATCCGATTTTGGCTCAGGTCATGATCTTGCGGTTCATGGGTTCAAGTCCCATGTCAGGCTCTGCGCTGACAGCTAGCTAAGAGCCTGGAGCCTGTTTCAGATTCTGTGTTTCCCTCTCTCTCTGACCCTCCCCTGCTCATGCTCTCTCTCTCTCTCTCTCTGTCTCTCTCTCTCACCCTCTCTCTCTCAGAAATAAATAAAACAAAAAAATAAAATAAAATGCAATCGCTCCCAGTCCACCTAAAGAGACAATATTGCCAATCCATAGGAGCCATTATTGCTTTATCTTCTAGGGGTGCTTGTTCATAACTCATATCTTTTTCTTTTTGATTTGTAGTATTTTGGCATGCTGAAAACTAACCTTACAAGGTTAAATATGTGGCAAATACCTT